ACAAGCAAAAACCATTATCTCTACTTGGCTGGTCGTGGATTTTCTCCGAAAGGAGAGTTTATGATGCGAAGCAGTGAAAGCCGAAAGGAAGCTGCTGGGCGGGCAGAAGCCTCCACCATCATCCAAGTTCAAGTCTCTCCGGATTGGATCGTGGAACGTTAGGACCATTTATGAGGCTGGAAAAACTTCACAGGTCCTCCAAGAAATGTACCGATACCACCTACACATACTGGGAATCAGCGAGACCCACTTGAACCAGTCTGAACAGAAGCGAATGAAAGAGGGGGAGCTTTTCATTTGGAACCCACAGGGAGCACGAGGCAGGGGTAGACCACGAGTGACATGGAGGAGATGTGTGGAAAGGGACATGAGAGAGATGAAGCTCACTTGGAACGAGCTTGGAAGGATGGCCCAGGATAGAGATAAATGGAAGGAGCTTGTATGTGGCCTGTACCCTGCCAGGGGTGAAAGGCATTGGTGATTGATGATGAACTTTTTGTTTGCACGAAAATTGGTGGACAATATCCTGACAAATGTTACTCTACAAGCGATTAAGAAATCTAGCTAACTGTATCCTATTACTACTTTCTTCGGTTTAAAACGTTTTCAGTCTTAAGCCCACACCCCAACCAACACAATTTAGGCAGTTTAGTGGGAGGTAGACGGCTTTGCCTCTGTCGGATACGAATTACCCAATGGCTTATCTGCCCCCCCCCACCTCTCTCACCCGACACCCCCCGTGTCAATCGATCAAACATCTTTTTGCATGTGAAGCGTAATAGTATCTCCTCCCACCCGTCTTTAGAAGTCCGGTTCTACCTGTTCTTTTCTTACGACCCCGTTGTGTTACATAATATTAAAGAGACTCTCAATTCACACAATGGAAGATAAATTAATTTAGAAAATACACCTCCGTTATTATACTTAGTCTATTCATGATGTGTCATGGAAACCCATTTACACTGCCGTCTGCCTTAGCCTTATCATTTACACCGTGGATCACACGTTCAAATTAACAAGAGGCCACAGAGGAGGCAGGGTCTGGATGCAAGTATACCTCGCATAGACAAACAAGATGTTAAGGTCTTACTTTGAAATATTGTTCAAAACTCGCTGAAAGACACTATTGGAAGCAGTCACGGGCCTAAGCTATGGTTGCGCGTTATAAGCGATACCAAATTCTATAAATAAAATCTAAGGCAACACCTCAACAAAAGGGGACGTGTGAGAAAAAAAGAAAAATGTATGGACTGCATTGAGATTCAACAATGATATCAAGTAGGGAGCCCAAAATATCGTCCTGCGGGTCTCAAATTAGCACGCGGGCCGCGAGTTAAAGACCCTTGATTTCTTAAACTTCTTCAGGTGTCAGGTCTGGAGCAGATATTGGTGGCCATGGTACATTACTCCATCCTGTTGTCTGGCTTCTCGGTCAGCTCGATTTTTTTTTCATTGGGTTATTTGTCACAAAGTTTGTCAGACCAACTGTGTATGTCTTTATAATGTGTCTTACCCTGCTCTTATTTCCCTGTATTTTTCCACTCAGCAGGCAGAAGTTTCTCTCGTCCATTTGATCTATTTTATGGCCAAAGTTAGGCTATGCTGAAGATCTATCATGACGGATTAATAAAGTCCCGAATCTTCATCACAACTTTTGGCCTGTGAATGAGGTACTCACCAGGCGATACAGCAACAATGGCCTTGAAGACAACAATTTGCTCGAAGGTCATGTTGAGCTTCTGTAGAGCTGTCGACATTTGTATGTGCCTCGCCAACGCCTTCTCTGTGAACATTTTCTGAAGCGGAAAGAAGAAGGGAAATAAGAACAGCAACCAACAAATGAACAGATGATTAAAGAAAGTAAGTTAGACAAACAGTCCAACAGTGAGACAGACAGACAGACGCACAGGCAGACAGACAGACCGACAGTCAATCAGACATTAGGGCTTTGCAGGTATTTGTACCTAGTACTTGTACGCCTAACACGGCCATAAGCAGTCGCATTCCTGGCAATAGGTGTTGAGTAACCGTACTAGGAAGTCAACATGCAGCATCTCGCGTTTTACTAGTACTTGGAAGTTAACCCCCAGTGTGTGTGTGTGTGTCTGTGTGTGTGTGAGTGTGTGTGTGAGTGTGTGTGTGTATGTGTGTGTGGGTGCCTGTGTGTGTGTGTGTGTGTGTGTGT